AGTGCAGTGGCATGATTACAGCTCACTGCAGTGGCTTCCCAGGCTCAAACAATCCTCCCACCTCAGCTTCCTGAGTAGTTGGGATTGCCAGTGCGCACCACCATTTCCGGCTCTTTTACTTTTTTCTTTTTTGTTGGTAGAGACAGGGTTTCACCATGTTGCCCACGCCAGTCAAATTCTTAAAAAATAATTATTTAACTGATAATAACATACATTTATATTGCTCTCTCCCTTCTTCTATCCTCAGTTATTTTGATATCTTCTAGATTCCTGATAGTAATATATTTTCATAGGTTTATACTTTATGTTACATTGCGTTCTAATATTTACAGCAATAAATGTTTTGTAGCTATAGTTTATAGTCATTCAAATGTATTTCTATTTAGAACTTTTCTATGTTTAAGTGAAACTGAAGATCACAAACAGCTGCAATCTACTACTAAGTAGCAGCGCCTGGCACAGAGCAAGGGCTTAACAAATTAAACCTTTTGGTATAATTCTTGCCCGAGTCAAATTAAACAATAAAACAGGCATTACTTTGTTTGAAATGGTAGACTCTGCGGTGTTTAGTCAGCCTTTTAATTTATAATATATTTTGAGTGACTAATAGAACACAACCATCATACATTTGTAAATCCAAAAACATTAAGTAAGAGCAACTTTTTTTCTGAACTGAATTTTAAGGTTAAATTCTTATCCATATTGAGCAGGAAAAAAATGAAATCCTAGAAAAACAAAATTTAAATGGGATGTCTTGCTTTGGACCATTCTATAGAGTGTATTAAGGCTCAGTAATTGTATCAATGCAGGGCATGTGACTGCTGAGCAAAAGGACAACTTCTGCTAAGTGAAAAGTAGATATTGAGAATGGCCTGAGTGGCTCGTGAATACTGTTTCAAATTAGGAGTGATTTCAGCAGCAAGGAAGTAGTGACTTAAACCATCATTTTTTTTTTTTAATTTAACAGTTAGAGGAAGTCCCAGGATTGGCTCAGCAGTTCAATATTATGAATTTAGGATCCTTCTCACTCAGTCATCTTTAGTTGATTGGCCTTTGTTGTTCTCTGCTGTCAGGTTAGGATTATAGCTGCCATATTGATAAGCATCTCAAGCAGGAAGATGAGGACAGGACTATAAAGGATTTTCGTTTCATGCAGTTGTTTAAATTAAGGAAATGTGTCTTTCTCATAGCTCCTCCAACAGACATGACCTGGAATTGGTAGCATGACCAGCCCAGATAAATCACTACAAAGAGGAGATTATCATGATTGACTGAGTCCAATCTTGAGTAGGGTCAGAACTCAGACAGACTTAACATAAAATTTCATAGTATGCTAAGTTTTTAATACATTTCTAGTAATATCCATTGTTAGAAAATTAAACCCTAGATACGGGCATGGATACATCAAGTTGTATCTGACTAAATCAACAGTGTTTTGAGAAAATTCTTTGCCAACTGTATGTGCATAAGAGTGAACAATCACTCCTCTAATTACTCAAATCTTAACCTGTTCCCAGCTTTAGCTCCAGTTACAGAAACACTATAAAGTACAGTGCAGTGGAAACAGTATGGAGCTGGAGGATGCCAGACGACACTCCAACCCTAAGTCCACTGCTCATCATCTGTGTCACCGTGGGCAAGGTACTCCAGCCCTGCTGCTCAGTTTGCTCCACTGCAAAATATGAAGATAACATCTTCCATATAAGATAGTTGTGGGATTAAATAAGATCATGTATGGGGATTATAAAGACTTTCTATGATTAATAAGTACAATTTTGCCAGCCGGTGTTTAGGCCTGTATATGTGTATAAGATTGCTGTTACAAAAGTAAAATATTTTCTGTCCTTCAGAAGCTTAATTGTAACTGAGCATACATTTGGGGAGAAAAGGGTGGCAGCAGAGGAAAGGGCATTAATACAATTAAGGGACATTTCTTTCTGTTATCAATTACATTGCATACCTAGCAGTTAAAAATAAAAATTGGTTCACTTCCTATTGGGGATTACCTAATTAGTTCCTAATGTATCACTTGGTAGGAAGCTATGAAATTTTTTTAAAATAATAAAGCTTCTAATAAATTATTTATTGTAAATCTCCAGTGAGTTTATTGATAGGGAAACTGTTTATGTAGGGTGATTGAAAATATTTATACAGCTATTTTTAAATTGTGTGATGTGATGATAATGACCATTATAAAACAGGAGCTCACAATTATTGAACACTTCTGTTCCAGGTGTCGTTCTAAGTATACATGGATTCTTTCATTTCATGCCCACACCAATCCCATAAGGTAATCACTGTTCTTATACTTATTATTATTTTTTTTTTTGAAGAGAAAATGAAGAACAGAGAGGTTCAATATTTTTTTCAAGGCTGCAGAGCTGGTAACAGGCAAAACCAGAACATGAACTAAAGAATTCTGACTCTAAATCCCATGCTCTTAAATGCTTTTAAATGCTCTTAAAGACAATCTTTCTGTGGATACAGAGCTGGGGCTGACTGGCTCAAGGACTGAAGCAAGGCCAATGCTAGCTAATTTGCATAAGCAGATGACAATTTGTTCCCATATGCACAGCTGAAAAAGTTGAATTTAGCCTAACTTGAGTTCAGGAAGAGAATGCCTATGACACTGATTTCTAATGGGGAGGAGGGAGAAGGGGTGGGGAGTGGGGGAGGGATGTTCCCATCATTTGATGGTCCTAATTCTTCCTTCTGCCTGTGGTTCTTGACGGTTTTAAATTGCCAGACTGTATGGGTAAGAACACTAGTGAATTGCATCTCTCCAACAACCTTGATGAAAGCAGTGTTTGATTGAAAAAAATATGAAATTTAATTTTAGACATGGCAAGTTCAATTACATCACTTCATATCACAGTAGAAAATAGAATTTGTTCTACCATGGGAAATAGTATAATAGAATAGATCAGAATAGTGGTATAATAAAATATAATATCCAAGTGCAAAAACAATTTTCAAGTAAGTACACACATTGTTTGAAGGTACTTTATTAAGATAAAAGATTTTCCATTACATTTATAAATCCTTCCTAGTCAAAAGAAAATAAATAATAAAAATCTGTATCTTTAGAAAGATTTTAAGAACATAGTTTTGTAAGTCTGAGAAGGTTACATTTGTCAATTTCAAATTATTACAGTTTAGATACATTAAATCATTACACAATACCAGGAAGGTCAGCCTTAAGGATACCAAGAGCTTCCATATTGGTCAGTAAAATAAGGGTAAAAAATTAAATTTTAATTTCACCTTTTTATGTTTAAGTGACTTTAGTCAGTCCTAGAAGTACAGAATTTCCTTTTTGGTCTTGGATTTTAAATATACAAACTTTAAAAAGTGAACATTCCTATTCTCTTATATCGCGGCTGACACTCCAACTTGAGAGCTGGCTTCTAGAGGGAGGAGTGCTATTCTTCTTGCTAGAGAAGGAGGCTGGAGGAAGAAAGTACAGAATTCAGGGCCTTTGTGCTGCAGCTATCAATGAACTCTTGGAGTTGGCCTTGCCTCCTTAAATTTTAATCAAATATCTTTCTAAGCATCAAGGTGGCCATGTAGACACTATTTTTAAGACTATGTCTACTGGCTGGGCGTCGTGGATCACGCCTGTAATTCCAGGACTTTGCTTGGGCCCAGGAGTTCAAGACCAGCATGAGCAACATGGCAAGACCCTGCCTCCAAAAAAAAAAAAATAATAAATAATCTATACTACCTGATTTCTCAAATTGCCAAAGTGCCCCCGTTTTCTCCCCCATTATTTAAAACATATTGTTCTAGCTCTGGCCCTAAATAAAGGTCTGGACCTTTCTTTTTTTAAAACATTATATTTTTATAACACCCCATTATTGCCACCACCAAAAAAGGCCTCAGTTTCTTCCACTTTATCCTTTATCTCTGTCCCCAAAGTAAAGAACTGAAGTAATTGTCTGCATTTATTTTTTAATGTGGGTATTTCAGCGTAAAAAATTTGGACTACCTACATGACTATGGTGATTTCCTGAATTATTACATAGTTCCCATCATTCTTTGTACCAGAATTTTTAGACAATGTTCAAAAAAGGGAATACGTTACCCAAACAATCTACATAAGACTTCAGATTGGCAACCCTCCCTCTTTCATTTTTTAAAAACAAAATCGATGCTATATAATTAATACGCTTAGAACTCACTGTCTGGATCCTGTTGTTGTATAATACTTAGTCTGATTATCTGTTTTGGTGTGAGTATGTGTCAAGGCCATGGGAGTGGTTTCTGTCTCTGTTTCTAACATGAACTTCAAAAGTCTGAAGGAAAACTAGTGAATCATGCTATCAAATGTGCTGTGCACAAATAGCATACTTGGATCTATCAGTGCAAAGCTCAACTATTTACATGGAATGTGACCTTGATTTACAAAACTACTCTTTTAAATTAGGACATCTTGACATACAATCAATTTATTTTATGAATAGCCCCATTTGATATTTAAAAAAATATGCTTTTCAAATATTTCATAAATATATAAAATTTTACTACATTCTATTTTTTTTAACATGACATTTAAACTCTCTTTACAAATCAACAAAAAATAACATTTTTTTCCTCTTTGAAAAGTCACAGATGCAATGAGTTTCGATTGACAGGGCTTCACTGCATGCAAGAATGGCAGGATATGTTCTCTTATAGAACGTATAGTCATTTCTAGCATTTTGAACTATATAATTCACTTGCTGAAAATCAGTAGTATCAAAGAAAAGTGAGAGATCCCATCTAAATATTTACAATGTAAGAGTCTTTCTTAAACGTCTTTAACAATGGCAAGGTTAGGATGGTGTCTGGACAGTATTAAGAATCATTTTGATGACAAATAAATTAACATTACATGAAAAGTTTTCTAAAACATATCTTAGAGCAACTTAAAGAGAGGGTAATCTATTGCACATATATGAAAAATAATCTTTAATTTTTCTTTAATTGTATCAGTAACATGTAAAACATGTTTTACATGTTTTAGAATAGAAATTCTTCTTCTAATTTATTGGGAAAATCCAAAAACAGCTAAAATAACATTTTGGGTGACTTCATAAATGTCTTCTGAGGATTTACAAATCAAAATATCCTTTGTAATCATTTCTTGCCACAAGACTCTACCATTGGTACTAATATTAATCCCACAAGGAAAGGCTTTTAGTTACTTATATAATAACTGTTAAAAGTCTACTTTCCCTTATTAAATATTTGTTGAGTCACTGACAGGTACTCAAAAGGACTTCTCAAGCTATACTATGGAGGCCATTCACTCAAGGTAAAATTTCAGTTACTCCTTTAAGAATGATTTTAAAATACACACACTGTGAACGTATTGCGAGCATGTAAAAAAAAGTCTGCACTTTTGGAGGATGCCTTACTGCCGGCCCAGCTAAATCTGTGATGATCCACAGGAAATAGCAAAGCTGTCCTGTCTGTCTGGAGCTGCTCATGGCTACTGAATTGATACCTTCAAGGGCTAACATTCAAACTTGACAGCAGCAGCCACACCTGAGACCAGCTGGAGCACTGAACTCCAATACATACTAAGCCTCTAGCCAGGTCTCTCTGAAAATCTCAGCCTCATCTTGGAGATGGAGCTGTATTAAAGACAGCCAGAAGGTTTGAGGTTTTGCTAAGAATACAGTACTGTGCACATTTTGATTGCAGATCTTATACTCACATATGGTATTTGAAATAAGGCTATAAAAAGATACAAACAAACCAGCATTCAACCTGAACCAAAATTGTACATCTATGACAGTGATATAGATTTTAAAATCTACTACCAAAGCAGTAACTGATTTCATCATACACTCTATAAAAAAGACAATTATGGAAATTTCTCTTAGTTATGAATGTAACCAGCTCACTGGTACCCAGTGGGTCTCTGTCTCTAATTTGTCAAAAGTTGTTTTGAGCTCATTGAATGCCATAGTGAGGTCATCATTTATTATGATTTTGTCAAAAAGATGACCATATTGACTTTCCATTATCTGTGCAGATTTAATCATTTCTTGAAAATCTTCTTCCTACGAAAGGAAGTATTAAAAAAATAATTGGTTAACCAGGACATTACCTCACTTCACATCAATGCAAACATTCTACAATTGGTTTACCTAATGCTGTTCTGTGTTCAGTCTTTCCCCTTAGCCAGAAATAAAAGTCATCCTCTTTAACCACAAGTGCTTCAGAAGCCATAATTTCTAATACTATTTCTCTGATTTGCTTGTAACAAAAAGCTACTCTGGCAAGAGTCAAAACTCCTGCCTTAACTGAATTGCAGGATAATGAGTCACTAACTCATCATTATGGGGACACATCAGTATTAAAATAGCTATTAGAGAAAAGAATTGTTTACTCTGATGTTTTGGCTGCATTATTTATGCTTATTCATAGGAAGGAATTTATAATATAAGCTCCTTTTTCAAAGTTGGACACATTTGTAAATGGATGATTACCATGTTTTTTGTTTTGATACAAAGTGTCACTTTGCCACCCAGGCTGGAGTGCAGTGGTGCAATCTCAGTTCACCACAACCTCTGCCTCACTGGTTAAAGCAATTCTCCTGCCTCAGCCTCCTGAGTAGCTGGGATTACAGGCACATGCCACCACACCTGGCTAATTTTTGTATTTTTAGTAGAGACGGGGTTTCTCCATGTTGGCCAGGCTGGTCTGGAACTCCTGACCTCAAGTGATCCACCTGCCTCAGCCTCCCAAAGTGCTGGGATTACAGGCGTGAGCCACCATGCCCAGCCAATTACCATGTTCTTTCTATGCCTCATTAGAAGTGTTTCAGGAACCTTCGTGTCTCACATTTTTAAGGCCAGAAAGTATTTTAGTTGGCTATATAACATAAATGTAAGAGAGCCAAATCCTATTCTTATCTTCATCGAAAAACCTTTAAAATGTCTAAATAGTACAATAAATCTTTATGGTGCAACATGCTGAAATAATTTGAGTCTGCATTTCATTGTCACATAAGATTTCACAATAACAGAAAATTTAATTTTAGTGTTGATCAAGAGTCTAAGTAACTAACATCATATGACAGTACCTACTCAGAACGGATATGTACTGCTGGCATGTAAAAAAAGGTATTTATCAAATATACTGGGAATCAGAAATGTGATCTGTATTTTGTAACCACAATGAACAGTTCATAAATTAATGCAGACTAAAGTTAATGATGAGCTAATTAAGAGTGGGAAGAAAGAAATAAGCTTTTGACATTTAATCTCTTTGCTTTTGATTTTTGGTCCAGAGGTAGACTATATTATCTTAAGATTAAGAACAAAAACAATAAAAGGTCTTGCCAGAAGCCATTATATTCATGAATATACCACAATCATCATTTCCAATAACACTCATAGAAAATACAAATATTATTGCTGAATAATATTTGTCTACTTATCTTATACCCAAATAGTGATTTTCTTTTGCTGTGCTAAATGTAATTATTGACACAAGGAGACAAGCAAGGCAAATTATTAAATTTTTCATTTGGACTCTTAATGAGTAACAGTAACTGATGGTATTTTTAGCTTTAAAATTAAACTGCTATGTAAATTAATTGGTCTAGATTTTATACAAATGTTTGGCCAACAGTAGCATAAAATGTATGCATAATAGCATACAAAATAGCTTTGAGTCAATCGAATATGAAGAACCATTCACCAAAGCACAAAAAGTGTAACTATTCAAAAGGTATGTACCTAAATACAATTCTTTGACTGATTTTTTGATCTACTATACTCTTCCTGAATACTTGCAGCTGTATGTATGTTTTCATATATACAACTATATCTTATGTCTTATCTACTGCTTATATCTTATGCCCAAGCTTTTTGTGGTTGTTGTTGAGACAGGGTCTCACTCCGTTGCCCAGGCTGAAGTGCAGTGGTGTGATCTCAGCTCACTGCACTCTCAATCTCCTGGGTTCTTGTGATTGTCCCACCTCAGCCTCCCAAGTAGCTGGGAATACAGGTGTGCACCATCAGGCCTGGCTAATTTTTGTATTTTTTTGTAGAGATCGGGTTTCACCATGTTGGCCAGTCTTGAAGTCTTGGTCTCAAGTGATCCTCCTGCCTCAGACTCCCACAGTGGTGGGATTGCAGGTGCCAGCCACCACACCTGGCCCCCGAGCATCATTATACTTACTGTGAAGGGCTTTGCAGCACTTTGGTCATCTCTGCTTGAGATAATCTTTGCATTTTTTCTTGTTTCTCTCAAACGCTCTATTGATGGAGGCTTTATAAATATCACATAGGGCTTAAATTCTAGTGTCCTTAAATGCTTCACTGTCTACAAGGAAGAAAAGAAAGTTTTCTCACATTTCTCCATAGCATCATGAATTATTGAATTTTCTTTCTAAGGAGAAAATTCCTTGAAATTATTCTTTAATTAAGATCAGTAGTCCTTTCAATATATTATTATTCAATTAACTATTGACAATTAAATGTAATAAACACCTATATAAAAAGCTGAGGAATGTAACAGCATTTAAAAATGTTCTGAAATATATCATAATTAACATTAAACAGAAGTGGCTAAAAATATCACAAAACTGGTTTTTAGATCAAATACCCCAAAGGTGTGATGAGTTAAATAAACTTCTGTCCATGAACGTCTTCCAGCCATCCCTTAAAAGCCCCTTCCTGATTTCAGGCAAGAGTTCTCCTCTTTCACCCTATCCTACAGAGTGCCCTACAAGGGCAGCCTCCTGCTCTTTCTGAAGCCTGTCCACATTGCTTCATCAAATAGTTGATGTTCTATACTCTATGCTTCTGGGGACCCATCAATAATCAACGGTGAGAGCTGAAAGTTATCTTTGATGAGCTGAAACTACACTGTGGGAGTCTGAGAGCAACTGTACCTGGGACACCAGCAGGGAGGCTCTGCCTAAGCAGGACTGTCCCATTCACTGTTGGTGCCTAATATGGTTTGGATCTATGTCCATACCCAAATCTCATGTTGAAATGTAATCCCCACCGAAGGAGGTGCAGCCTGGTGGGAGGTGACTGGATCACAGGGGCAGTTTCTTAGGGTTTAACACCATTCCCCTTGGTGCTGTCATTGCAATAGTCAGTTTTTGTGAGATCTGGTTGCTTAAAAGTATGTGGCATCTCCCTCCTCTCTCTCTTCCTCCTGCACTAGCCATGTGAAGTGTTCACTCCTCCTTTGCCTTCCGCCATGATTGTAAGTTTCCTGAGGCCTCTCCAGCATCATGCTTTCTGTACAGTCTGCAGAACCATGAGCCAATTAAACATCTTTTTTAAAAAAATTAATTACCCAGTCTCAGGTATTTCTTTATAGCAATGCAATAATGGACTAACATAGGGCCCAAGTCAGGAGGCAGCCCCCCTGATAATTGTTGAAACCCTCTTACTGCAGATTCATCTTCCTTTAGAGGTGCAAAGGGCTTCTGCAGGTCATTCTAGCATTTGGAGGTTCTGCACCGCAGAGTGCAGCCATCAGAGGAAAGAGAAACCATCATCCCTGGGGAATGAGGAAAATGCTGTGGGCTGGGAATCTGCTGGAGGATATATGGTTTGATAGGGAATTGAATGGCTTCATAACTGACATTCTCAGTTCAGAATGTTCATAATGGAGTGCCCAGGATGACAGGTGCAGATCTGGCAGTTTCAATGGGCCTTTCATTCAGTACAATTCCTGTAAAACGCCCTTCAGTTCTAGTGCAGGGTATTTGCTAGGATATATACAGAACCGAAGTAAAAGACTTGGAGCCAAAATATCCATTTTTAAAAATTATAGACACTGATGCTAATATATAACACATAAGAATGCATTATGCATGTCACAATGTGATATATTTTTTAAAAATATAGAATATATAGAAATATCTAAGAGCTGCTTTACTTGACAAAAACTGAATATAAATAGGTGTTACAAACACAGGTCTTGGAGCTTCCTCCACTTCTCTTTTCTAATAATATTATGAGCTTTTCTTTTTTTCCACCAAAGATGTCTCAAATTACATTTAAATGCTTTTGCCATCTCAGAAAAGCCACATATATGCCAAAAGCGAGTTGACTTCATATGTATTTCATATTGAAATGCTCACATGAGGTGCTGTAGATGACATGGGTCAGAAGGATATTGAATAGTTCATTGTTTACTTACATGAGGCTGAACATCCAACAAACAAACTTTGTTTTTAGCGAGGACAGACCGAACTGAGTCTATACTTGTGCCATAGTAGTTGTTTTTATATTCTCCATATTCAATAAACCTGTAAAAAATTAGACGCATCAGAATCGTTTGTGAATTTAAAATGATTCTAGGTGGCAAGATAAAATTCATACGTAAAAGTCGTTTCTGCTGAACATGTAATTTTTTAAAACTATGTTTAATAAAATAAACAGAGCCATGTATTTCAAAATGTCAATTTTTAAAAAATATTTTATTTTACATTTTCAAATCAGTAACACTTGCTTAAATTACACTTAAGCAGAAAAAAAGTACTTTAGTCTAGTAGGGCTCTAATGTTTTCCATCACCGCCCCCCAACACTTTTTTCAGAACTAATGCAGTGCAATAAAATGGTGAATAAGCCAAACAACAGAAACTACTGGAATTTCATTGCATGCAACAGACTAACCCAGCCCAGCTTCACAACTAGAGGCACTGGGTGGTGGCTAATGGAGCCAGGGCAGCCGATCATGTGCTATAAAAACACAGTCACTGCGCCAAATATGAAAAAAGCATTTCGATGTTTCAATAAAAATCCACAATCCTGCATTAAAACACGTATTGCTTCTGATAGCCTAAAATATTCATGCCTCAGCAGATGGAAAACCTGGGTGGGGGGAATGGGGTGGGCTTGGAGCTTGCTAGAGGAGATGGCACCAGCAAGTTAATTACCATCATTTCAATTTTTAGAAGAGCCAATGAGAGAATGAGATGCAGGTGTGGAAGCAGATGCTGAAACTAGTGATATACTACATAGTTGTTCATTAATTTTTGAAGTAAAATTCTATCCAAATTGTATGTTAAAATTCAATTAGTGGGCTGGAAGGAGGTCAGAATAAGATACTTGCAACCTTCCGTCATTCTGCAAAATAATGTCTACATATTTTATAGAAATGAAGCAAATCCAGGTTACTAAAAAATTAGAGGTGAAGATTAATAATAATTACCAACCAAATTACCTTTTCATCTGTTTCAAATATTATTATAATAATTAAAATACATTTCAAATGGAGGGGAACTCTCAGTTGTCTAAAACTGAACAGGCATGTGCTTATAAAAAACAGTCACATAAAAATTCTCAAAAATGTCCACATACTTGTTATTTTGTACATCTGTCTCAAACAAATGCTTGGAAATGAAAATGTATTCAACGCCATCACTCTCCTGGCTTCTTTTTGCTCTGGTAGTATCTGTGATTTAATGAAAAGGAGTTTAGAAAAGCCCATATCAGCCACCTTAAGGAAAATATTAAAAAAAGAAATCAAGTGTATTTAGTTTTTTCAACAGGGTTTAAAAATCTGTTTAAAAAGCGAATTAGCTAATAAAATATAGTAAGCTGTTATAAATCCAGATTTTCCACTGTTATTAAAATTATATTGACTTGAAGATGGATAAAAAAGTTAATTGCATTGTATGTCTGTGCTATTATTTGCTATTTTGCAGGCTCTCTAACCTGATACAAGAATGATATTTAAACTTGTGAGGAAAAAAACCTTTCTTTTGCAAATAGTATGCTTATTATCTTTATTGATCTTTATTCATTAAAGCAAATCTATTAACCACTAAGTTGTTAGGAAAACTCTGAAATTTGTTTGACTCTCTGCCTTTCATGAGACATAGTGGCTATGCCATCAACGTTTTGTTTTACTAGCAAGTAAAGTTAAATACTTCTGTGTCCTATTCATTCCTCGTTTGCAAAGTTATAAATAGCATCATCTTAGAATTCTATTGAACTTCCAACCTTTCCGTAATCTTGCCTAATTATTTATTAATGAATTAAAATGGAGCAGAAAATATAGGATTCATTAAAAGGACAACAAGAACGAAGCCCAAGGCACTCCAGTGCTGACGTGGCAAATGTAAACCCACTACAAGCCATCCTTCCTGCAGATCCCAACTAAAACTATGGATGCCAATAAACTCTCTGAACATTTTGAAAATAAGTAAAGCAGGTAGACTGTAGAGGGGAGTAAAACTGCATGGGGAGAAGTCTGACTTTGTTTTCCTCTTAGCTTTGCCCCAAGGGTGGGAATCCTTCACAGAGCAGCATGGTAGAATTTGCAGCTAAACACCAATAGAAGCCCTAATGTTTTGGCTCAAAGAACCAGGAAGAAAAAAAGTCCCCGTGGTTTGAAAAGTGTGGAGGAAATCCAGGAGAGGAGAGAGTTGAAGAAGAAAATACTTTAATTCTGTGTATGAGTCAACAATAGTCTAAGAATCGCATCTGTGCTATATACATGCAGTTCAAATTCAAACCATCATGGCAAAGGCCTTATGAAGTGAACTGAGAATGGAATGTCCAGGTCTCAGCCTAAGCCCTGAATAACAGTAGCACAAAACATATCAAAGTTAATGAAGAAAAGTCTTAAAGAACTGAGCTGAGATCTGAACCATGCACACAAGTCTTAGACTAATCCTTGCACCAAAACAGACGTAAATCAATATAACAAAAGTAAATGAGATAAAAGAAGCTGACAGCTAAAATAAAAATACCAATTCTCCAGAATATTGTAACAGAACCTAGTATTAATACATTATATTCACAATGTCCAAAATGCAATCTGAAATCATTTAACATGAGATAACCAAAAAAAAAAAAAAAAAAAGACCAATTTTTAAGGGGAAAGATAACAGACGGCAACTCTGAATGACCTAGAAGTTAGATTAGACAAAGGCTTTAAAGCAGGTACCATAACTATGCTTGAAAAGGTAAAGGAAAATATACTTGAATCGAACAAAAATATAAATTCTTAGCAGAGGAACAGAAACTATAAAGAAAAACCAAATAGAAATTGTAGAACTGAAAAATAAAAATAATGGCAACATATCACTAGGTGGGCCAGTAACAGAATGACAGAAAGAAAAGCCGGTGAACTTGAAGACAGAGTGATAAAATTGTAACTGAACAACAACAACAAATAGATTTTAAAAATACAGATAGAACTCCAGGGACCTATGAGAAAACATGCATGTCATGGGAGTGCTGGAAGGAAAGGAAGAAAGAGATTAGGCCAGAAAAATATGTTTGGTGAAAGACATAAACTTACAGATTTCAGTAGCTCAGCAAATCCCAAACAGGATACACTCAGAAGAAAATATTATGCCTAGACATATTATAATCAAACGATTAAAAGCCAAAGATAAATTAAAAAATCTCAAAGCAGCTAGGAAAAAACACCTAACACATAAGTGAATAATGATTTAAACTGTCAGAGATATGTTAACATAAATCATAAGAATAAGAAATCAATGAAATATCTTTAAAGCACTGAAGGAAAAGACTTAATCAAAATGGGTTTCAAGAATAAAGGCAGAATAAAGACCTCCTCAGATGAAGAGAAACTAATAGAATTCCCCAGCAGACTGTTCTAAAAGAAACAATCAAGGAAGTTCTTTAGGCTGAAGAGAAATGATAAGAAGGAAATTTCTATTTTCAGGAATGAGGAAAAACAAATAGCTGTGTAAATGTAAAAGTCTACTTTTTTCCTCTTAGGTTCATTAAGACATATATGACCATTTTAAAGACAAGTTATAATATTATCTGATAGAGTTTTCAATGTATGCAAATGTAATACACTTGACACCTAAAACAAAAAGATTAGGCTGGGGTAAAGGGTCTTAAATGGTTGCCAGGTTTCTGTATTTTATGTGAGATGACACCAAGTTAAACTCCAAGCAGATTACAAATGGTTAGATATACATACTTTAATATTTAGAACAACCAGTAAAAAACTAATGCAGAGATACCACCAGAGAGCCAATGGGTAGATTAAAATGGAAACTAAAAAGGACTCAATCCAAAAGAAGGCAGAAAAGGAAGACAAACACAATAAAATACAGATGAGACAAACGGAAAACAAATAAGAAAATAGTAGCTTAAATTTAATCATTTCCATAATTTTATATATATATATATATTTACTATATATATAAAAGGTTGGCTTTATATATATAAATTTACTTATATATAACATATATATTTAAACATATTTATAAATATAAATGTTAAATATAAATATATATAATACATATATATACCAAATGACTTAACATTAGAAAAGCAGAATTCATGAAATTAAGAGATTAATGGCAGCCAACACAATCATCTCAATGTATGCAAAGAAAGCATTTTTAAAAACTTTGACAGCATTCACAATAGTCTCAGCAAAGTAGGAGTAACAGTAATGTCCTCAAACTGATAAAGGACCTCAATGAGCCAACATTATATTAACGGTAAAAGATGGTGCTGTTTTCCCCTGAGATCAGGAGTGAGGCAAGCGTGCTAAATAACAACATGAAAACTAAGCTTGAAATAGATCAAGATCTAAATGTAAAACCTAAAACTGTGAAACTTCCAGAAGACTACAGAATTTCTTTGCAACCTTGAGATAGCAAAGAACTTTTACATAGAACAGAAACATTATAAAACATAAAAGAAAAATTGATAAATTAGATTTCATCAAAATTAAACACTTTTGCTTTTTAAAAGACACCATTAAAAAAAAATGAAAAGGCCAGTCACAGACTGGAAGAAAATATGTGTAACACATTTATCAGATGAAGAACAGGTATCTAAGAGTAGAACTCTCAAAACTCAGTAATTAGACAAACAATCCACTTTTTAAAAATAGGCCAGACATGGTGGCCCACACCTGTAATCCCAGCACTTTGGGAGGCTGAGGCAGGTGATCACTTGAGGCCAGGAGTTCAAAACCAATCTGGCCAACATAGTGAAGCCCCATCTCTACTATAAATATAAAAATTAGCTGGGCATGGTGGCACGCACCTGTAATCCCAGCTACTCAGGAGGCTGAAGTGGGAGAATCACTTGAACCCAGGAGGTGGAAGTTGGAGTGACCCAAATCACACCACTGCACTTTAGCCGGAGCAGCAGAGCAAGACTCTGTCTCAAAAGAAAAATGGTCAAAACATTTAAACACACACTCTACCAAAGAAGATATATAAATGGCTGAATTCATAAAATCGTGAGTCCCCAACCCCCAAGCTACACTGGTCTGTGGCCTGTTAGGAACCAGGCCACACAGAAGGTGAGCAGCAGGTGGGCAAGGGAGTGTTACCAGCTGAGCTCCACCCCCTTATGGCCCTGGTTTCCCATAAGACCACGAACCCAATTGTGAACTGCATGTGCGAGGGACCTAGATTACGCCCTCCTTATAAGAATCTAATGCCTGATGATTTGAGGTGGAACAGTATCAGTCTGACCCCATCCCCTCCTGTCCTGTCTGTGGAAAAACTGGCTTTCATGAAACTGCTCCCTGGAGCCAAAAAGGTTGGGGACTACTGCATAAAATTATGCTAGTCATTAGTTAATACAAACTGAAGTATGAGATACCACTACGTACTTATGGTGACAAAAATTTAGAAGACTGACTACACCAGGTGTTGGCAAAAATGTGGAGCACCCAGAGCTCACATGTGCTACTAGTGGTTTGTAAGATGGTATAACCACTTTGGAAATCGGTTTAGTAGTTTCTTAACAAATTAAACCACACGGCCTTGTCATTCCCCTCCTACTTATTTGGCCAAAGAGAAATAAAAACATATATGCATCAAAAGACTTGTACAAAAACCTTGTAATGACTTTATTTATGATAGCCAAAAATGGGGGTAGAGGGAAAATCCCCTAAATATTCATCAACAGGTACATGGAGAGACAAATTGTGGTATTTCTATACAATGGAATGCTATTCAGCATGAAGAGGGATGAAAAGGAATGAATTACTGATCTAGGAAACAATAGGTGTGAATCTTACATTCATTATGCTAAGTGGAAAAAGTCTGGCAAAGAAAATAATGGATGCATACTGTGTAATCCTATTTAGATAACACACTAAATCATTTCAAATAATCAATAGTGACAGAATACAGATCAGTGGTTGCTTGGGAACAGGGTGGAAGGCTAGATTACCAAGGGCGCAAGGAAAGTTTTTGAGATGGAAACATTCATTATGTTGGCTGTAGTGATGTTTTTGCATGTGTACACAGATGCTAAAACTGATCTAATTGTGTATTTTAAATATATGCAGTTTATTCCAATTACGTCTTGATGTTACAAAAAAGAATCTGAGAAGCGGGGCGGTGGGTGGCGGGGATGTAACGTAATAGAAAATGTAATGGATAAAACTCAACTAATTTAAATTATATCCCAAAGTTTAATTCCCTTTTATTTAGTTAGCAAGAATATTTTAATACAATGTTTAGATCTCTTTAAACAGTTTTTAATACATGCTCTGCAGGTAGCACACCAAGAGGTAGTGCTACTCTTTGAAATGAAATGTCATATGCTTTACAGGAACAGCATGAAGTACTGGTGCACTGTATTCTAAACTGGTGCATTGTATTCTGTCATAAAGACTAAAGCTTTACAGCAGAAAAATACCCTACTGAGTGTATATAACACAATTAATATCCAAGAACATGAGAGATATTAAAATTAGTATAATGCCCTGCTTTGGAGTTTAGGCTTAATGGTCATTTATTACTTAATCAGTTTTGTTGTTGCTATTTGCTAGTGTTCCTTCAGCAAATAGTTGGCCTAAGTAAAAAGTATTGCTGAAAATCAAAATTGAGAATTTCTGTGCATTGATTTCTTTCTTATGGACAGAGAAAAGATTGTCTTTATTCAATTATGATGGCGGGACATTTTGGTTGAAAATCTGCAACACATGGCTGAAAGATTACTTCCCTGATACATGGCATCCCACAGCAGGGTTAAAATATTTTTAGAACCACATCAAGTGGTAATTGAACAAGACATTGATGACATCACCAAATGCATTTGTGTCTACAACCAAATTGTTTGCTTATCATGATCAACCTGAATTACCCAGGTCGGACGTTATTTTACTGATGAAGAATGTCAGAGCCTAATTATAATGAGTTTCATAGGAACCTCATGACCTCATTCACAATGAGGAATCCTGAATAAGAGATCTGAAATTCTTATGAGAAGGAGACTCAAAGGGAAAGATGTGCACGTTAACCACAAGGCAGGCACAACTTCGTCACAGCTCACTGAGTACCCAATATGTTCCCAGATTAAAGCAAAATAGGAAACAAAATAGGAGCCCTTTCCCCACTTCCCCGAAATATCCCAAAATAGCTGTCCTGGGGAGATAGGGAAAAAAAAAATTTTTAGCTATCTTTTTTTTTTTTTTTTTTTTTTTTAGAACATGCAAGTGAGGTATCCTATGGACAAAGAAGTTTTCTAGAGTATGGATGCTTTAAAACCTACAAAAACTGCAATATCTGTCTTTCTGGGAACCACAGAAAGTGATTAATAGACATGGATGACTCAGAATGCCCAAATTCTAGACTACACAGATTTCGGAATCCATCAAGTATTTGATGTCTACTGCAATACTTTTTGTTACCTGTTTAATTTTAATGTAATGCACAAGAGACCCTTTTGACTGGTTGTATTAATAGTCATTCAGATTTACTTATGATAACCTATAGCCTTAAAACAATGTTGATGTTGCTTTTCAAGGAGGAAATTTCCCACAGGCTGGGCATAGTGGCTCACGTCTGAAATCCCAGCACTTTGAGGGGCTGAGGCAGGAGGATCATCTGAGGCCAGGAGTTTGAGATTAGATTAGCCTGGGCAAAGCAGTGAGACTTCATCTCTACAATCAATCAATCAATAAGAAACTTCCCACAGAGGAGCAAAAGGCAGAAAATGAGAGTTTCAGCCACCACTTTCCTGGAAAGCAACTTTGAATGTTTAATATTATTACATGGATAATTTTTAAAGACTTCATATAGCTCATTCAGCCATTTTAGCTCGAGTAATAACCTGATTTAGCATCCATTTAAATATTTTTTTTTAATTAAGGTAATTACAAATTCACAAGTAGTTACAAAAGTAGTACAGAGAGGTCCCATGTAAAATCACTCAGCTTCCTCTTGAAATATTTACATAACTATAGCATTTTTAGGAAAACCAGAAAATCAGCAAACTACAGTTAATAAACTATTATTTATTTTTAAGATTTAAGAGCCTGAGTATGATACAATAACTCATATATACACATAAAAGTGTATATAACTTCTTTACTTTTCACAGGTTTAACACCCCCGTGCAGCCAGCACTCTTAACAAGAAGCAAAAAATTGCTAGCACTTCAGAATCACTTCTTGGGTTCTAACCCAACTCCTTGACATTTCTAAGAGCAGACATGAATGTTGCTTTTATTGCAATTATAAAAATGAAATCATACTGCCTCATTCATTCTCTTGGGTCTACCTCCGTTTGTTTAACACATTTGTGGGATTCATTCTTACTGTTGCATGGAGTTGCAGATTGTTCTTTCTCATTGCATTACAGTATTCCATTGTATGCATGTACTATACTTCTCCATTCTACTTATTCAAGTGATCAGTATTGGGTAGTTTTCAGTTTTGAACTTTTATGAATGGCTAAGAATATCTCAGTACGTGTATTTTGGTGAACGTGTTTATGCATTTCCATTGGGTGTGCAGTAGGAGCAGAATTGCCGGGTCACAGGGTATGTGTTTGCTCAGCTTTAGTGGATACTGCAACTTAGTTTTCCAAAGTGATTGTGTTAATTCACACTCCCACCAGCAATGTGCAGGAGTTCCTTTGGTCCATAATTTTTCTGGTGGATATGTAATACATGCTTTCAAAAACAAAATTATAGAAATAAACATCAAACAATACTGGTGGTATAATCAAAGCAATCATTTTTCTCCAATATTCAAGACTCTGCCCAAAGTATTTTACAAAGCAAAACTATCTGAAATTCTAAAATTACTCTTAAAATATATTCTAATTTATTAAATCACCTTGGCTTGATGCTGTATTTTCCAAACATGTCTGACATCAGGAATCATCTGCTATAAAGACAGATACTCGGGCATATCTTTTTATAGAACTCCAAGAGATTCTTATCATCAGGCAAGCCTGTGAAACATTGCTATATGAAGATCTTTTGACATTAACATCTATCTAAAAGTAAATCAGAGTAAAAAATAACTTTGGGGATTTCTTTGGAGAATCCCAGCCCCACAACCTTTCTAGAATATTGTCAACTTCTATAACAACTTCAGAGGCAAGCATTTAAACAGCTGGGTAAATTGAGACTAAAATGCCTTGCCCTAGGTCCTTCCATAATACCACAGCTATCACAGAGAGTTAGTAGGATAGATTGCCTTATGGATATTTCTCATCTTCAAAAGAAATCCTTTTGACTACTTACTGAAATACAACCAGGAGAGTCTGTAGTTTTAAAGGATAGCTAGTGTCATATAAGAGGAGGAACATAGGAACTGACAAAGAAAAACAAAAAAACCTGGCTTCAAATCCAAGTGCACCTATCATCTATGGAACTCACGTCAACACATCCTTTCTATCTCAATCTTCTTCGCTGTGAAATAGAGATAATATCAACCATCTTATACTTTGCTGGGAAAGCTACAAAATTAAGAAAACCAAGGAGAAGAATACACAGTATGAAGTTTAAAAATTTGTTTTTTTTTCTTTGTAATCTGTTTTTGCATCTTCTACGTCTCATATAATTGTTCATTGGTAAGCTTAAAAATTATTTTGTTAAATTTTCTAACACCTTGTATATTGTAATTCAGTTTTTGTAAGAGAAGTGAATAATTACAGGAAAAAAATAAGAAACTGTCTAGTTCCACATTTTCCTTTACTTTCATCTTGGTAATGTGTGGTAGAAAGTAGCAGTCCTATAACTTATGTCTGAAAATGATTACAAACAATAATTTGGAAAATGTAGTATAAAGAAGGAAGTTGAGGTCATAGAAAACTATAATTTTAAAATAAAGCTGAACTCTTCCAAAACTAGAGAACGTCGCTAAGGGCAATATACAAGCAATTTTTTAAAAACAGTACTAAAACCACTTGAAAAAGCCAACATTTCAATTTAGGCTTTTAGACAGCTTTCTAATATCAACATATTAAGTAGTCAAATGGCATTTATTCTGCAGATCAAAATGTTTCAAGCATCACATTTTATTTGTAAGAATGCCTATGAAAACCAGTTTTATAAAAATAAATCTAATTCTGTGTACTGAAAAGAAACTTACCATATTTAAACTATACAGCCATGAAAAGCCCATTTAACACTATCTGCCAATTACTACATATAAAAAGTAATTAAGAAAGACATATTATAATAAGTCTCCTTCAGCTCTCTATCATTTGATTCTTCTAATCTTAAAGCTGGTGAAAAACTCTGGAAAACATTAGCACTTATTTTAGAAAACAATTGTTAGACTTTTCTTTAGAAGAAAATTTGTAAGTAGCAATTTGATGTCATGTGTGTACTAAAATTCACCATACAAACCTAGGAGTAGGAAAGCTGTGATGAATAAATATTCTGCCAAAAATCTGTGTAATTTAGGGCACATTTTTAACAACTTTTGCCTTGGTTTCCTCCTCTGTAACATGGGGATAACGTCACTGTATTCTTCTTCGGGTAGCTAGGAGGTCTAGATGAGTGAGTGCTCAGACAGTGCTTGGAAAGTGTTACCCAATCGTTATTATTAATGAATACGAAAAGAAAATAGTTACAAAGAATGAAGAAGATCTACTATTTGATAGCACAACAGGGTCACTATAGTCAATAATAACTTAATTGTATATTTTTTAAGATATTGAGTGTAATTGGATTGTTTGTAACTCAGAGGATAAATGCTTGAGGGGATGGATGCTGCATTCTCCATGATGTGCTTATTTCAGCATTTCATGCCCATATCAAACATCTCGTGTACCCCATAAATATATACACTTACTATGTACCCATAATAATTTAAAAAATAATTTAAAAAAATGTTTTTAAATTATCGTAAGTGTAGTCATGGGAACACTAAATAGCGCAGAACTCACGGGGCACTGTCACGCCATAGTGCTGGGTGTCACTGATCAGCAGCTTTCGTTTCAGTTCATTCAGCCCTACTCCCACAGGACCTGAAAAACAGAGTAACGGAACTTCATTATCAAACAAAACACCACAAAAACATTTCTGTAACTGACATGAATCTCTAAGACAGATTGAAAACATGGATCCAGCTTTGTATTTTAAGTGAAGAGATTATTTCCAGTAACTTGGAGATAAGAAAACCCTAGATTTCTTTTGTTGCTTTTTTACTTTTTCCAATTGAAATCCTCACCTTTTCCTTAAAAAGGATTTATGTTTAAATGAGATATATTCAAGGGTATCTAAATATTACCAAATAATAAGCTGCCCACAAGATCCTAAAAAATATGTGCACCTAAGGAAATTAGATTGCACAATCCAGATAGTGATAATGTCAATTTTAAATGTTTTTAGGTCTTAGTCAAACAAAATCTTTCACCTTGACTTTATTTGGGATGCAAATTCAGTTTTGCATTTTACATATGCAAAACAATCAGCCACATTTACATGTGCTGAGACCTTTTCCTTCGCTATAGACTTCCTTAAGCATTTGAAAACTTGCATAGACCTTACACACTTAACTCAATGTATACACACTGAACACCTATAAGGAGCAAGGCATACAGTAGATTCTGTGGACAGCAAAAGATGATAAATGAACTCTGATCTTAAAGAAACTCACTGGTTAACTAAGAGTCTGGGGCCAGAAAAACAAAGAGCAGTTTCAAATATGAGTCTGAAATCAAAAGTTAGACAGGCATAAGTCTCCCCTTTCCAGTTGCTTTCCATCTAAAAGCTTCTCACAATGCTGCCATAAGGGTCCATGTAAGCATGGTGTGGTTCAGCGGGTGACACAAGCTACAGGACCACACTGCCCTCAGATAGAGTCCCATCTCTTCCCATCTGCTATGCCCTCACCTGGTGACACTGAAAGGGAAAGTCAGGGCGTCATTAGATTTCATTTTCATTCTAAAAGTGTGTGCGTTCCCTCTCCTTCTTGGACGGAATGAATAAGAACTGAGAGAGAACTCATGCACAGTGCCTAGCACAGCATCCAGGTACTTGACTGTTCACTGCCTTGCCTATGTCTTCTTCCACCCTGAGGAGGTCACAGGAGGCTTTGAAAGAATAAGGTTTTATACCATACAATGGAGAACATGCAGGTGTAAAGAGAAGTGGGGTGGGCATCCCAGGTGGAGGGAAAAGGATGGTCAAAGACAAAGAGGAGAAAGTTAGTGACTGTGCCGTTCTTGCTCTAATGCCACTTCTAGGTCCCTGATCCTCGTATAAAAACACTTGTCCCCAGGTGGTTGTTCATGACCACCTTCAACCTTTCTCTACACTCCTGTCTAACACCAATTCTCTGGCAACTTTCCCTTGTTCTGTAAGACGGCAACTCTCAATTCTCCCTTTTATAATAAATATGCCGTAATATCCCATTTATATCTTGAAATGGAATTAATTGCTAATATAACTTATAATTTCCCCTTCCAAATTAATGCATCACCCTAACTAAAAATAATACATGAAAGAGAGAAAAATAATTTATAATAAAGCAATATATATTTCAATATGTAAATGCTTGGCACGACTACAGCAGAAAACCTAACCAAGTCAGATATCTGCACCTACTTATAATAAATAAGTTTGGATTTAAATGATCAGGAGCTATGGTGCACAAGAAAGAACAGGAAAACAAAAGCCCAGAGGTACATGTAAATCCAGGAATAAGAGCTAGAGTTTGGATAGAAGCCACAAATCAGAGTTCCTTGAATATGATAAAGAGAAGGAAACAACCTCGGATAACATGTCAAGGCTATTGAAGTGAAGAAAATAATACAAATGACTTGGGCTTACCCAAGAGTAGCATACGGGGCCCAGTGCCATGGCTCATGCCTGTAATCCCAATACTTCAGGAGGCCAAGGTGGACAGGTATCACTTCAGGTCAGGAGTTTTGGACCCAGCCTGGCCAACATGGTGAAACCTTGTCTCTACTAAAAATACAAAAATTAGCCAGAGATGGTGATGGGCACCTGTAGTCCGAGCTATTCAGGAGGCTGCGGCAGGAAAATTGCTTGAACCCAGGAGATGGAGGTTGCAGTGAGCCAACATCGCACCACTGCACTCCAGGCTGGGAGGCAGAGAGAGGCTCCATCTCAAAAAAGAAAGAATAGTATGTGGGATGAGACAGTGCTTCAGTGTTCCAGAAGACAGTTCACTTTTCTAGAAACCCCACCATATGTTGAGTCATCTACTCAGTCCTTGACTGTCTAGCACAGCACATGGAAGTCATGTGGGATGCAGTCAGATCTTTGTTTTATAGAAAGGCCAAGTCTACCTCCCTCTACCCAGCAGCCATTTTGACATGAAAAAGTGCCCTCACAATGTCCCTAATGTGCCCCAGTGGGCAGTCTTGCCCCTGTGAAAACTACTTTCTATGACTTCAGCACCTGACTCTTGTCATTCCCTGCACCCCAATTCCTGCTATCATCTTGGGTGACATCAATATCCACGGAGAAATTGCTTCCAAATGCAGCCTTTGACTTGCTGATCTCTAGTGACCTCCCTCTCTACTTCACTTCAACCATGACACGGCACACCTGGCCTTTGCCATCACTAGGAGCTGATTCACTATGAAAATATTAAATCCACATTCTCCAGTATGACATCATTCTCTGATCTTCTTAGACCACTCACTCAGTTATTCCTCCCTCACCCATGGTCATATAAGGACCTCTAGTGCCTTTATTTCTTTACTTTCTTTCTAATCTCACAGCCCTTCACTTCTACGATTTTGTTACTGTCTTCGTCTCTTTTACACTTGTCCTTTATCACACTTGCCAATGATACCTCCATCTAAGACCAACCCAATGGTCTCTCTCCATACCCACAGAGGAGCTAATGAGTGCAGAAAACTCATGCAGCCCCTGGACAGCAGTAATACCATGCATTCCTGGTTGCCACACATAAACCAGGACCTTTGTGTGCTCCAGCAATTATTTTTGTTTTCCTTAGCTGGATTTCTTAGATCCTCACGATGGCAATTTCAATCTTTCTCCAGGCTCCTCTTTACTCACACCTGGAAGCCTCCTTGTCAGTTCTCTCTTGTACATCCCTAGAATCAACTGCCAAAGGGTGTCAGACCCCACCTCCAACCCTGGAGTTACATTTCAACATGAAATTTGGTTGGGGACACAAATCCAAACCCTATCACATGCCAAGGAAACCTCCCATCTAAGATCAACCCATTGGCCCCTCTCCATACCCACACCTGAACTACAAAGTGCAGGAAACCCACACACACAGTAGTTCACTCTTCTTCCTACCATCCTGGCTTATCGTTCCGTAACTTCTCATCAGTACCTCCCACTTGTCCTCTCCTGCATCCACAGTTAAGTGTAAATTCTTTTACAGGGTTATATAGATTGCATGATGCAGGTTACACTTTAATCTCTCATCTTAATTCTTCCCACTCCTTTCTCGCATTGTATGCTGCAACTACATGAAATTTCTCCTGCTTCCTGAAACGCAGCCGCTTCTCTTGGTGTATTGGATCTTCATCACATGCTACTTGCATTTTCACGCATGCCCCTGTCTTCTCACCTTACTAATTCTTGCTTGTTGTTTAGGATTCAGCTCAGACACATCTTAAGGAAATATTCTCTGATATTCTTTGGGTTAGGTCCCTGAGTTCATGTTTCTTGTACTCTCACTTCAAAGGAATTATCACATTCTACTGTACCTGCCTGTTTCCTTGTCTTGATCATCTAACAGACTGAGTTCTGTGAAAACAGGAATGCCTTCTGCCTTATTTAACAACTGCTTCCCTAGCTGGCAAATTGAAGGCCCTAGTTAGATTACTTATTTAAATTATACTCCATAATGACACTTTTATGGAGGTGAAATTTTGTTGAATGAACCAAAGGAGTGTGAGAGAAAGAAAGTATTTGCCCCTAGAACACATAGACATGATGATTAGATAATGTGCCCAAGTTCACCAATAGAAGTTGCTGGAATTCACATTTGAACTTGGCTCTTTATCTCAAAATAAAAGGGAAGGTGATGAATTCACTCTAGGCACAGTGAGTTTACGGGAGGAAAATCTTGCTCCCTAAACTCAGACAAGAGCTGCAATGTAACAGAGAGGACAGGGCTAGGATACCATTGTGAATGTATTCACACTGAAGTAAAACCTAAGACTTCAGTGACAGATGAGACTGCTAAGCAGGAGGGTGAAAGGGATACACACTTATTGGTTGTCTATGATACGCCCGGCACCACGGAGGGGCTTGCACACTTATCTACTTTAAAGGTTCAAAAAGTATTCAGAATAAGTTCTAAAACTTACTTTTTAAAATAAATAAACACAAGGAAAAACAAGTGGTATTGCAATGAAGGTACCTTCTAGTACAAATGATGCAAACCCAATTATATATGCTTACACACACACAGAGAGAGAAGCAAACATAGCAAAACACTATTATAAAACGCAAATGAAGTGTCCCAGCCTGGCATGACCCTCGAGACGCTTACAACTGCAGGAAGGGATGTGAATTCACCATTTCCTTAGGAGGTCTCAGCTCTGGAGTGATTCCGAGAGTATGAGATACTTCGTCAGGTGAGAGTCTAGCATTTTTTTTTTATTCTTAAAAATCTTACCTAACTACAAAAAAAAAAAAAATCTAACTCTTTAGGAAAATAAACTAGGTATATTTGAACTACTGGGAAAAAATATGCCACCTAAAATGTGATATTTTTAAATTTTGACTACATTCGATTTTGGCTCTCTGTGATAACTTTATAATCTAACCCTTACAAGCAAGCTCTCTTCACCTCACACTTGTGTAGTATACACCTATGCAGGGTGTCAAGAACATTAGGAGGCTAATGACTTTATTTGGAAAATTTTCCCTAAATTAGGTTATTCTAGGTCATCATCTTCAAAGGTAGAAGTATCCTCCAAAGAAAGGTTATAAGTAGAGACATAATTTCAATCATTCTTACTGCAAAATTGTCCAGTAGGCCTACAAACAGCATTTTCTTAGGCCC